GTTGTAAATGTAAAAGAAGGCAGAGGGAAGCATAAAGCATGTCCAGTGTTCTGCTAGGCAAGGAATGATTAGTCAGCAACATCACTCAGTCAGTCTGTAGTTATGGGTAGGTTTGTGCAGACCATAACAAGGAGACAAAAAATTACCTGAGGGTATTTTATAGTTTAAAAAACTCATGCATTTCATGGGTATAAGACAATTCACCATAGTGCAGAAAACAGTTTAGATGTGTACTCTGAAAAATACATTTGGAAAGCAGAAGAGTAATTAAGGATATCCAAATGGTCAATAAGCTTATAAAATGATGCTTGATCTCATCAGTAATTAGGGAGATGTGGATTAAAACAGAAGGGCTAAAATTAAAAAAGACTGACAATACAAAGTATTGATGGAACATACACTGCAGATAGGAGTCCAAATTAATACAAAAGTGGTTTGACACTATAAACTGCATCTGTATAGATGCATATCCTATGTTCTGACAAATTGAGCTATATACTCCAAAGAAAGGTGTAAAGTATGCTAGGAGACTTGGGCAAGGATGTTTATAGCAGTGTTATTTCCTATAACCCAAACCTGGCAACAATCCAAGCATCCATCAATGATGGAATGAAACGCAGTATTTTCGTATGATGGAATACTATATGGGAATAAAATAATAAACTCCAGCTGTATGCGACATCATGGACGAATCTAACAAATAAAATATTGAACCAAATAGTTAAATGGAAAAAGAGTATGTTTCCATTGACATAAAATTTAAAAATATGTGAACTAATCTATGGTTTTTGAAGTCAGGAGAGTAGTTGTTTTTTGGGGAGAAGGTAACAAGTAATGATCTGGAGGGGCCATGATCGGGTTTTTTGAGGTGCTGGTAATACTCTATTTTTCGACCTGGATGGTGGCTTATGGGTATGTTTGCTTTGAAGCAATCCAGTGAGATGTGTGCGCTTGTGATATGTGCAATTCTCTGTATACATGTTATACTTGATAAAAAAAAGTTAAGAGAAAAGTATAAGCACATGACATGCATGGGTGTGTTTAAGCTCCTGCTAAGTTCTCTCTGCGGATGGGACTTTTGTACTCCCTCCCTGTGGAGAAATAGGCTCCTGGCCAATAATTTGATGGTGTGTTTTGTTTTGTTTGTAATTTTCATTCTTAAGGCGATGGGTGAGCATTGTAAGTTCTGATTTTTGGTGTAGGAATTGATAAAGGAAATTTATTCACTGCATTTTTATGATAAGACACTGAAAGTTTTATATAACTTTTTTCTTTTTCAGGTAAACCCAGATGTTTTGATGGATGCAAAATGCTGACAAATGTGTAATACGTTCGTTCTTCTCCCAGAACGAGGAGGAAGGGAACTTGTTCTACGTGTCAGCATATCATGTCTCACTCACCGGCTCTCAAGCTCAACCCATTTTCTGTCACACTGAGAAAAAAACCTAAATGATAGGTCTTGCTTCTCAGCAATCCACCATCCATCCTCCTGTTTCGGGGCCTGCATGAGCTCTTCCCTCTGTCTGGAATGCTCTTCCGTCAGATACTAACGCAGCTGGCTTTATTCGTTTGTTGAATGAATTGACTTATGTGGGGGTGCTTCCCTACATTTCAGGAAAAAAAGAAAATAGCACATAAATACAGGTATTCACAGCTAACATCCTTCTGCATCTTCTCCTAAGAAACCTTTGTACAAGGCTCCGATTCTTCATGCCTTTTATTTTTGGATAACTTTTTTAAGACTTCATTTTTGTAGAGCAGTTTTAGGTTTACAACAAAACTGAGTGGAAGGTACAGAAATTTCCTGCATACCTCCTGCCCCTGCCCCCACCTTATCATTACCCACATCCCCTCAGAGTGGTTCATGTGTTACAATTGATGATTAAGCTACAGTGACACGTCCCTGTCACCCAGAGCTCATAGTTGACTCTAGGGTTCACTCTTGGTGTTGCATCTTCTATGGGTTGGGACAAATGTAGAAGGACATGATTACACATTATACACTCTCTGATTACACAGGTTTTACAGATTGCAGTAGAAAGTTGAGAACGTGAAGATGAGTTTTAAGGCACTCTAAAAGTGGTTTCTGCATCGTGGGACACGCCTGTTAGGAAAGGAGCCCCCTGCCTGGTGACCAGGACCAAAGCTCACAGATAGTGTCTCATCCCTGAAAGACCCAGGGTGACGTGGGAGCCCAAGATCCAACTGGAAGAACTGGGAGGCTGAGCAATAGCTGCAGCTAAGCCGTGAGTGTGACTGTGAGCGGGCCCTGGCTGAAGGCATCCGCCCTAGCACGCTCACCTGTTCCAGCCACCTCGTGTGGCGCAGAGGAGGAAAGGGGCAGGGTGACATTCAGTTTACACAGCCAGCTGGCACTTCCATTCGGGAGCCTGGCCGCCGAGCTCACACGTGAACTACCTCTCTGAAGGAACCCAGAGCAGGACTCGGGCTTGGAGGTGGGACTGGACAGGCTCCGGTGAGCGGGACTGAGGCGGAGGGAGCCCGGGCGCTAGGAGGCGGCGGAGCCCGGAGCAGCAGCGCCCTCTGCAGGCAGCGCGGCGCCTCGTTCTTCTCGCTCCACGTCGCTTCTCTCAGACCCTCCGAGGTCAGCAGGGGCTTTGGGCTCCTCTCACCCTAAGCCCTAGTCCCAGGTTAGTCTTAACCCTAGTTCTTCTCCTGTCTACGAACTCTGAACATTTGTGCTGAGCACACACTGAGGGTCACAGTCAGAGCCCCGTGATCTGCGTTGTTTAATATCGCATCCCAGGAGGCGAATTCTCAGAATTTAAATAGGAAATTCTTGAAAACATCCAATCCTTTAAGAGTTAAAGGGGCAAAATTCTAATACTGGAATTTCAGTTTGAAGGCCGGACAGCAGGGTAGATATTTGCAGCCGGAGGGAGGCCCACACAGCGTCCCTGGACCGCAGTGGCGCCACTGCGTGCTCGGCCTCACGACCGACCGCCTGGGCGTGCAGAGAAGGGGACGTCTCCTCTGAACGTCCTTTCCACCGTTCTCGTTCCCCGGTCCCTCTTCTGTGTGCCTCCCTTCCCCGAACGGTTTTGAAGCATCCTCTAGGTTCCCGATTCTGCACCAGGCATGAGAGGATGAGGAACTGCAAGAGTGTGTGACACTGTCCCAGCCGGGCAGCATGCTGCGACTTCGGCCGAGGTGACAGGTGGTGAGCTAGCGCGGCAGACAATTGTCTGTTCCCCACTCCTCGTGATGTACCCAGTTTACAGGGCCTACCCCAGATACAAAAGAGAGAGCTCCTAGATAAAGAACTGTGCTTGCTTTGAAAACAATGTGTTCGTCTGAATTGTATTCTCTTACCAGGTAAAAACAAGGGCATTTCCCCCTTTCGCCCTCAAGGTGTAGGCTGGACTCCTGTTTCCAAGGTTGGGGAATCCTTTGCTCCAGGGTAGAGAATTAAAAGACTTTTTTTTTTTTTCCTTCAAAAGACTAGCCTTCACCTTTCTCAAATCTGATCTGAAGATATGTTTGTTTGACCCACAGTGTTTTAAAAGGAATCAGTTGCCCCAATTAAAAAAACATGGGATATTGTCTTAAAAATCTAGTTTCAGGTTTCCTTGGAGAAGTCTGACAGTCCTGGGCTGGGGTTTCCAAGGGAAACAAGCAACTGAGGCTGATTAGAGACCTGTCGTGCTGTACCACAGCCCATCGCCCCTCATTGCCCCTGCGTGGGTTTCCTGGGGCCTGCTGCTGTTTACCATCTTCTTCCTGATGAACTTCACTTCCACTGCTTGCGTCTCTAGTTCAAAAGGAGGAGAGCTCTCAGGTCTCTGCCTGGAAGAGAAAGTTAGTTTCCCAAGGATCAGGAAGGCAGATGGTGGTGGGGCCCTGTGAGGGTGGGGATCTGTGACCCCTTGCACCGATCAGGAAGAGACGGGTCTTCTGCTACAGCATGACCATGTGGATGTCCTGGGACCCTGGCAGCGCTGGACTGAGAGAGACTGACAGCCGAAGATAGTGGGTCTGCCTCATCAGAATGGAGCACGTAGGCTTGGACTATGCATATCTCATCGGCAGCCCTGCTGGACTGCAGAGGAGAGACTCATCCTCCACTTTCCTGAATTGATAAGCTCTGATTTTTTGAAGAGCACAGGGGAAAGGGTTGGTGGGGGTCCTGGAAAAACGACTCAGTGGGTAGGGGTTGAGCTGCATGTAGTTTTAATGACCAAAATGAAGAAATGTTACATTTCTTATATTTGAATGTTGTCCCAAATAGTTTCATTAATATGAAGTAGTCATAAGTGCCTTATGTTTTGGGAATTTGCCTTACAGAACACTCACAATACCTTTCCTGATTAGCCGGCCACCAAATTCATTCATTCATTCATTCATTCATTCATCAGATACTGGAGAATCTGCTATAGTCATAGTATAGGGGTGTACAATGGTGAACACGATGTAGTCCCAAGTTCTTCCAATTCTTGCTAGTGACCTGGATCAGAGATATGGAATTGGAGGGAAAAGGATATTAACAGGGAACAGGAAATTTGGGGTTATAATCCTATTTCTATCCTTTAACTGCTGGGCAGCCTTGGGCCAACTACTTAACCTTTCTGGGCTTCACTTCCTTCATTTGTGAAAAGGGATTAAATTATCTTTGAATTCTTATTAACTTTCAAAATACTTTGCTGAAAAATAGGGACATACACTTCTGATGTAAATGCAGATTTTCTCAAATGTGAGGGCATAGTTATTTCCTTTATTAGGTTTTGGTTTTCCTTCATGTATCTGATTTCCAGAAATAAGAGTAAAAACATACTTTATTTTGCTCCAGTGTGTTTACTCATCTAAGATTTCATATATGAGGAATTAAATGAAAAAGTTTTTGTAGCCCCACCTGGAAGAAGAGGAGGCCAGTGATTATTCTGTCAAAAGCAGATGGTTTAACTTTCTTGGAGTCTAGAATTTACCGTGGAAACCCAAAGGCACGTGAGGGCCTTGGAGAAAAGAGACTCACAAGGATATTATGCAGTTGGGGTAAAGGGTTTATTATATCTAAAACAAGTAAGCATTTGTTGATGTTTTGTCAAAAACAAGGAACAAAGTAACAAAAACTATCTAAGCATGAAAACGACAAAGCTGCAATAGACCAATACTGAGCACAAAGACTCTAAAAAGAACACAGAACCTAAAGTGACAGCTTTCAGGCTGTCTACTTATCCAGACAGTAAAGTCAACTGTACAACACAAGCCACAAATGACAATAAAACACGATCAATGAGGTCGTTTCTCACTGGTGGGGGATACAGAGAGGCTTGTTGGGCCTGGGGTCACTGTTGGGAAAGGGTATTAAAATCTCATAAATCCTCCATATCTTTTTTCCATTTCAGGAACTTCTTTGGAGTAACTTTCGCCTTCCTCCTCCGAGGGCAGGAACTCAGCAAAGCGCTTCAGGAAACCTCCGTACCTTTTCTGGTAGTCCATCCACCACTCCGGGCGACCCACTCTTCTCATGAAGCCCCCATAGCGCTTCTGCAGCTCTTTGGCTTCATCTTCCAGCTGGGGGCTTCTCTTTAAGCTTCTCATGAAGCCTCCATATCTCTTGCTCACTTCTTCGTCATTATCACTGCCGCCCTGGGGGTGGCTACTCTCTCGGGTGTCCCCTGTTCCCAGCAGCTCCTTGAGCAGGTCCGAGGAATTGGCCGTGGAGTCATCCTCCACGTCCTTTTTCATGAAGCCCCCATACCTCTTGGCAAGGATTTCACCTCCGTTGGCCTGTTCTTCCGGCTCCGCAGGATAAAGCTCATCCATTTTCTTCATGAAGCCCCCATACCTTTTCATGAAGCCCCCATACCTCTTGGCTAGCAAGTGGCTCTCCTCCTGGTGGCTGCTTTCTCTGAGGGTGCCATCCTGAGGAAGCTCTGATTTGGACAGCTGCAGGAGCTCCTTGCAGGTTTCCCAGATTTTCAGGGATGGCAGTTTTCCTTCACATTCCAGTGCACAAGCCTGGGAAAACAATTTGATTTAATGATAAAAGAGGCTTCTCTTATTTCATTCATTCATTCATTTATTTATTTATTTTTATTTTCTAAAGATGACCGGTAAGGGGCTCTTAACCCTTGACTTGGTGTTGTCAGGACCACGCTCACCCAGTGAGCAAACTGGCCATCCCTATATGGGATCCGAACCCGTGGCCTTGGTGTTATCTGCACCACACTCTCCCGAGTGAGCCACGGGCCGGCCCTCTTATTTCATTTAGAAAGCAAGCTTTTGTGTACCACAATATGCTTGCTTCGATATATAAAATCTCACATAATAAGATCCTCTTCATTTTCTTATCACAACTGAACAGGCAAATAAAACAAATGAAAACCAAAAAGGGGAAAGTGGAGGAAATAAACTGAATCAAATTAAAAATCTGTCTTTGGACTTTAAGCCCTTGTATATACCGTGCCATTTCAAAATTTTAAGAGATTTTTTCCACCCAATTTTAAATTAGATTGGCTGCCTTTGCAATCTAATTTCATTGGATAATTTTCCACTGCTGATGTCATTTTGCTTGAGATTTTTCTAACTAAAAGGGAGAAATTTCTGTTTACTTAATTAGGAACATTTCCTCAAAATTCCTTCTACCTTCTCGTCTTACAAGTAAAATCAATATTAATAGCATAAGATTCATTTGCTTTTTTGTGTTAATATTTTACTAGAATAGTATCCAATATTCTTATAAACACTTTCAATCTTCAAAGAAAAATGATTTCAAAGTAAGTTTAAAAAGAAAGACTTCCTAAGAACTCAATGTAAATTTTACAAATTATTTGGATTATGACGTATGGATTTGCTAAAGGTAGAGATTTTTTTCCTTTTTCCTTGATTGACTAAAACAGATTTTGTCATCTTGAACCAAATGTATGTAATAATAAGATCAGATATAAAATTATACATAAGCAATACATAGATTATTCATGTCTATTTTCTTAATATTTAGTTACTGGTGTG